AGAGGAAGGAACACTTCCAACTTCTTTTTATGAGCATTATCCTATATAATAAAGAGTTAATATGCTAATTAGACCAAACAGCCGAACATCCTTCCAGACGACCTCTGGACGAAGGGCCAGCCGGGGCTGCGAGGGGCTGAGAGGGCCGAGCCTCTTGCATGAATTTTGTGCATCGGGCCTCTAGTCCTAATATAAAACCAGAAAAAGACACTACAAAGAAAGAGAATTACAGGCCAATATCCCTGATGAACATAGATGCTAACATCCTCATCAACATATAAACAAATCAGATCCCCCAATATATTAAAAAGATCATACACCACGACCAAGTGGTCTTTATTCCAGGGATGTAAGGCTGGTACAATATTCTCAAGTCAATAAATGTGTTACATCACATTAGCAAATTGAAAGACAAAAACCACATGATCATATCAATAGATACAAAAAAAGCATTTGACAAAAATCAAACACCCATTTTTGATAAAAACTCCCAGCAAACTGGGAATAGAAGGATCATACCTCAACATAATGAAGGCCATATATGACAAACTTATGGCAAGCAAACATCATACTCAATGGGAAAAAACTAAAACTCAAACCACTTCCCCTAAGAACAGGAACAAGACAGGGATGCCAGTTTTTACTATTCTTATTCTACATCAGTGATGGCAAACCTATGACACGTGTGTCAGAGGTGACACACTAACTCATTTTTTTGGTTGATTTTTCTGTGTTAAATGGCATTTAGATGTATAAAATAAATATCAAAAATATAAGTCTTTGTTTTACTATGGTTGCAAATATCAAAAAATTTCTATATGTGACACGGCACCAGAGTTAAGTTAGGGTTTTTCAAAATGCTGACACGCCGAGCTCAAAAGGTTCGCCATCACTGTTCTACATAGTTCTAGAAGTGCTAGCCTCAGCGATCAGACAAGAAGAAGAAATAAAAGGCATCCAAATTGGAAAGGAGGAAGTAAAACTCTCATTATTCACAGATGACATGATATTGTACATAGAAAACCCTAAAGATTCCACTAGGAAACTACTAGATTTAATAAATGAATTTGGCAATGTAGCAGGATACAAAATTAATACCTAGAAATCAATGACATTTTTATACACCAATAATGAGTTCTCAGAAACAGAAACTAAACAAACAATCCCATTTACCACTGCAAAAAAAAAAAGTAAGATACTTAGGAATAAACTTAACCAAGGAACTAAAAGACTTGTACTTGGCAACTATAAGGTATTGAAAAAGAGATAGAGGAAGATATAAACAAGTGGAAGAATATACTATCCAAAGCAATCTACAGATTCAATGCAATCTCTATTAAAATACCAACGGCATATTTCACAGATCTAGAACAAACTCTCCAAAAATTTATATGGAACCAAAAAAGACCCTGCATAGCTGCAGAAATCTTGAGAAAGAAGAACAAAGTTGGAGGGATCACAATACCAGATATCAAGTTACACCACAAAGCCATCGTAATCAAAACAGCCTGGTACTGGCACAAGAACAGGCATACAGATCAATGGAACAGAAAAGAGACCCAGAAATCGAC